AAGATATAGTTGGAAAGCCGTACGATATAGTTAGAAAGCTGTATATTTAACTGCATGAAATATCTCAATGTAAGTTTTACAGCAGAGTAGAAAGCAGGTAGGTTTCCTTATTATGGATGTCGCCCACAACATGCTTAAGCTTAGTTACATGTGTTTCATTCATTTTAATGGCCCCAGAATCATTTCAGACGATTACCAGATTCATTTTCTTATGTGTGTTGGAATCTCACCCTAATTATGCTCAGGTTCAGCCCCCTTGCAGGCTTTTTCAGCATCGGATAACAATTCTAGACAAGCAGATGGATTGAATGGCAATATTACATTGTATTGTTGAAGGCTTTCATGGCCAGAATCACTAGGTTGTTGTGAGTTTTCTGGGCTGTATGGCCATGTTCCCAAAGCATTTTCTCCTGACATTTCACCTGCATCTATGGCAGGCTTTCTCAGAGGTTGTGAAATCACAACCACTCAATATTACACTGCTTTGTAGTCTTTTCAAGAGGAAGTCCAAAAGTTTTTATCCCAGCTGTGGAGCTCTGAGTGTGTGCAAAATCTTGTTCAAATGCCTGCCACTGATATCCAACTGTGATGGAGGGAGGGGAATAAAGAAATAGGTTGTGCTACTTCCATTTTCAGTAACCCCTACTCTGGAAAATTGTTTAATTTTTCTTGTTGCCCTGTAAATACTGTCTGCTCAGAAACAGAGTGCTGAATTTCAAAAAGACTTTGACAAATATTTCTTAAAGTAGTTCTATAACTGTGAGTCTTCCTCACAATCCTCTGGGCCCATCCAGGCAGGCCCAAAAACTGGGACCTGTCATGGTTTTACTGCCTCCAGTAAAACTTAATTAATTTGGATTGAATCAGGGTTTCCTAAATCATATTAGTAGCCACAACTGGAGTAACCCTACTTAAATCAGTTATTGCATAGTAAGTCGTCTTCAATTCAATAAACCCTTAGCAGAGCATAAAGAACCACATATGCTAGACAACCCCTATGTAGAATAACAATATTGAACAACACATGTGGGAATACAGTTGCATTGCGAAATGGTGAGACTTCAATCTGCATTGTTGCTACATGTAAAATGTTCCATTTGTAATGTTCCCGGAGCCAAGGGGGAAGCAACATAGTGTAGGTAAAGAAACTACAAGATACCCACCACAAGATGACCAAAGGGAAATGTTCAATATGGCACAGGCAGAAAGAGAAAAAAAGGGCAAGCACTTTCCATCGAAATGTGCCATGTTACAGGTTGCATTATAGTACTTCTGTCATGGCTTCCTGAATTCAGGTCAGTCAATTGATTCAATGTATCTAGTCTAGTTGGTAAAATCATTGGGATTCAGGGTTTTCTACATTATTTGCCAAAAATCCATCTCATTCAAATATTGGAAGTTTCTAAAGAGCCCATGTTGCTTTCTGCCCTTTTTCAAAGTAAACTGTATGTGGCATGGGTCTGGCAGAGTTACTAAGTAACTCAATGCTTCCATCTCAGTTTTGCTCACAGAAATCCATCCAGTATCTTTGTTATGTTAGCATCCCTACTGGTTTTGTAGTTTATATCCCTAATGCAAAAGGATGTCTGGAGATATAGTGTGTGGAAATCAGTATGTTAGTAAAGAAATGAATTTGATGAAAAAATAATTTGAGCAAAAGTACTATCTACAAAATTTCAGGGATACTTTTCAAGCGTTTCACAAAGTTTGGCCAGTATATCAAAATACATTTGTGTTTTTTTAAAGCAAGGTACACGAATGAGCAGGTGTATAATTTCTTTATTTATCCAGGCAAGTTTGCAGTTATTGTAATGCAACCATTATAACTGGCTCATTAATCAGAAAATTATACATTACCAGAAAACTGCAGTAAAACTCAGTCACCAAATTATAACTTGCAAGGTGTTTGCTTTTTTAAAGGAATTCACTAAGATTGATCCCACTGAATTGTAAGAGGTTTTGTTGCATCATTTTTAATGCTTTTTTGAATTATATAAACAGAGAATAACCCTTCACTAAAGTAAAATAGTAATAATATAATTGGTTAATTTGTGTTGAATGGTCATTTTCAATAAATACATACCATATTTGTATAAAGAATGTGTGCAACAGGCAATTTTATACACCACACAGTTAATGTGCATAATTTCCAAGCTTTTTGAAGATTATAAACTGACAAAAGAAATATTTCACCTATTTAATTTTAATTCCAGGTGGTCCCTTAAAGACCTAGGTAGAACGATGTAGCTGGAAAATCATTCTTAAGATGACAGATTTGATGCCAATGCTCACAAGTGCTGATCTGTTTCTCTAAGAAAGTAGGAAAGGAAATGGATCAGATAAAGATGACAGGCAGAGAGACATGTGAATAAAAATCTCTAAAATATGCAATTGTACTTATACCTGAATGTGCTTTGGAGCATTAATAAAGATACAGGTAGAAGACTCACATTTATATTAATTCAGATTTTATTTGTGGTTACAAGGATTGTGTATGGATCCTTTCTGTATGATTAGTACATTTCAGATAGTGTAACAATGTATGCAAATAGGTCTTCACTATTCTTTGCAACCATATCTCCTCCTTCTGTAAGGACTTAAGTGCAATCCATGTTCTCACACAGAAAAAGAGGAGGAACCCATCCACTCTCACTGTTGTCTAAGACTGAAAGAATATTATTTGGCTCTCAACCACATCTGATCCACATAAACCAAATGGACTGATATTTTAGACTTTAAAAAAAAATATTAATTGTGGAATAACATCCTCAGCCTCACATGAGGGTAGTAGACTTGTTTTGTAAGTGTGGGGCAAATTAGAAGAGACTAGTTTAAGAGATGTAGTGGGGATGTCATGTAGTGGGGATGTCATCAGATGAATCAGTCCTTCAGTAGAGGAGAACAGCTGGAGGTTGTCATTGGCACCATCTCCAGATCACATAGTAGCTGGAATTTTCTTAATATATTCAAGTATACATTATACCTTCATATGTAAGTTTGTTTATTTGTTTGTTTGTTTTTGGTGGTGGGTATTGGTATTATTTTCCTTACTCCTCAAATCCAAGACTCACTTCTGTGCAGCAACAAAGTTCCAACCTAGTCGTGGTCATTCTGTTTCTGGTGGTCAGCAAAGGGAAGGAGAAAGGTTTTTGGCTATATCCCCATAGTAAGAGACAAACTAATAACATCATCCAGCAAGAGAACCTCAACAGATCTCAGTGCAAGATATCATCAGTCTGCATCTGAGGACATTTGGGAGACTATTACAACACAACAATGAGTCCTAGAGATGGTGACAAGAGAGCAGTAGTAGAGTTACATATGCAGGACTCATGCTGCATTCAACCATGTATGATCTTATTTATTTATTTGTTTACATCACTTGTATACCACTTTTCTCCCCCCAGCGGGGGACTCAAAGTGGTTTCCAACATAATTATGGCAAAATTTAGTGCCTCACATACAGAAATTTAACACAATAATAACATACAATTATCGATTAAATCATAAAACACGACATTTAACATTAAACCATGGAATTCAAAACATCTCAATATAAACATTAAAATCACACAATCCTGATCTTGGCCACAATCAGTTATCTGAGATGACAGGTTCCTGTGACTCTTGTTTTTCATTTAGTGATGGTAATCTAATGGTAAAATGCACTCTGCAACCCAAATACAGAGTCACTGAGTAGAGCAGTGGTTCTCAACCTGTGGGTCCCCAGGTGTTTTGGTTTACAACCCCCAGAAATCTTAGCCAGTTTACCAGCTGTTAGAATTTCTGGGAGTTGAAGGTCAAAACACCTGGGGACCCACAGGTTGAGAACCACTGGACTAGAGCAAGATGAAGCAGGGCAACTCAGTTTGCTTTCCAGCCTCAATGTTCCTGGCTTTCAGGTCTTCATTTGGGGAAACAGCAGCAGTGCAGCCCATCATTTGTTCAATCCAGCCTGAAAAATGTGGTGTGTGTTCTGTGAGTAAATGACTAGACAATGGGTATATTCTATTCCTCATTTGTTTTTGTAAAGGAACATAAATCCATTTGGCAAGATCCTGTGACAAAAGTGATTTCATTAGCACATTTGGAAATGTGTGGTCTCAGCTCCTTGCTACACCCAATATTGACCCTCAAATCCTTCTCAAGGGAGATAAGAAGCCCTCCAGGTTTAATTTTCTAGTAGCACTGAGGTGCTCAGAGAACATTTAGGTTCTGTCCTGCTTGTGCAGTAAAGTTTTATTCAGACCAGTGTGTTTATTAAGAGTAAGACCATTCATACCCAGTGAGAGGAATATAGGTCCCCAAACACAATGCTGTGCTTTGTTACACTACTGGATGCTGAACACCTCACAAGTCTCTACATCCAGACCTCTACACATGGAGAGTAGGACAGCTTATTCAGAAGTCAAATCTGTGTTGATCAAAACAACCTCTGATGGCAAAGGCATGGTCTGACCTTCAGATTTTCCACAATCCTAGCTTTCAGTTTAGAGATTCTGGGTCCAGTACATGATAATACATTTCCATTAAGAATTTTAAAAATAAAATTAATGAATTTATGCACCAAGAGCAATGAGACTTCTGTAATATAAGTTTCAAAAAATAATTATCAATATCCAACATGAGATTAATTCTGAAGACTGTTAATATTTTATTAGCCCCATTTTTGAAAAGGTATAGCCTGAATATACCCCTGATAAAGATGATAGCCATCTCTGTATTGACTGTGCCCATTTATGAAAACTCTGTCCAACAACTCAAACACTTCTGAAATGCTGTTAAGATAACATGCTTGTTATTTGAAGTCTGCTATCCTTTGATTCTCTTCCAGCTTTTTGTGTCTTTTGAAGATGTTTTATTAAAGTATTTGCTCCACCCAGTTCTCTCTTTCTCTTCTGTTCTTTTTGTCTCTCTCTTTCTCTCTCTCTTTCTCTCTGTGAGGTTCACATGTAGACTGTTTTAAAGATTCCATAATAACTGTTTGGCATACCCTACAGGCAAAGGTCCAGAAACCCTTTTTGCTGGCTATAACCTCAATGACAATGAATGGCACACAGTACGTGTGGTTCGAAGAGGGAAAAGTTTAAAATTAGTGGTGGATGACCAACAAGCCATGACAGGTAATTATGAATAACGATATTTATTAGATAGCTTCAAGCAGTATATATTCAATAATAATGGTAGTAGTAATAGTAGTAAATGCTATTGCTCCGATAGACTCAACTGTCAATCTTCTACAAATAGCTCAAGAGGCAGAAGAGGTTTTGATGGCCAGTGGTTGAGTGACAGAAATCCTATGGGTATCTGATTCCTGTTGCTCATTAATTTGAACTAAACATGTGCTTCACTCCTAAAGATATCTGTAGTAAAAGGGTGTTCCAAACAAAAGTAGAGGGAGAAAAAGATGGGTCCGAGAAAGTAGGGTGTTTGGAAAAGAAGGAATTCAAGAGAATGGAGAAAAGAGAAGAGAGCCAGAGATGGAAATTATATGTTATTGGACAGAGAAAAAAAAGATTGTAATGTTTGCAGTTCACACCCTGAAAAAAAATGAAGCTCTGTAATTTCTGAATCCTGTGCAGATTGTAGCTGAGCCCAGAATTCTTAGGGGAACTTTTCCAACTCAAAGCAAGGGTATTTGAAGGGACAAAATTATTAACTGAGCCATACCACCTTTCAGTCCTCCCTCTACCTTAACTGTAGATAGTTGTTCCAAAGATAAAATAGAAAATATTCCTATGGACAGGTTGGCATCTTCTAATTAGGGCATACCAAGTCTAGCGGAACTCTACACATCATTAGCCTTAAGTGGGTTGAAATTATCCCAGTGGTAGCAGCAATCAGGAAAGTAGAATTGGTGAAGTCTGTGGGTAATTCTTACTGAGCAGGTGCAGTCTTTTTTATTACATTCCATGTAAAGTTTTATTCACCACATCCCCAGGTCTACCAGGTGAACAGAAATTGCTTACAAGCATCTCACCTCTGTATTGCTCTTGCAATACAGTAGAGACTTGCTTATCCCACATAAATGGGCCGGCAGAATGTTGGATAAGCGAAAATGTTGGATCATAAGGAGGGATTAAGGAAAAGACTATTAAACATCAAATTACATTATGATTTTACAAATTAAGCACCAAAACATCATGTTTTATAACAAATCAACAGAAAAAGCAGTTCAATAAATGATAACGTTATGTAGTAATTGCTGTTTTTATGAATTTAGCACCAAAACATCACAATGTATTGAAACAGCTGTGAATCTGGGTGGGAGGCAGACTGTGTTGGATAATACAGAATGTTGGATGAGGGAAAGTCGGATAAGCAAGTCTCTGTATTACTAAATTCATGTTTAAAGCTAGTGTTGAAATGTTTTTTTTCTGAAAAAATGGCCCATGTCAACCTTAGTCTAGAACAGGTATCCTCAAACTATGGCCCTCCAGCTGTTTGGGCCTTCAACACCCAGAATTCCTGACAATCAAACAAGCTCATTAGAGCTTCTGGCAGTTGGAAGCCCAAACAGCTGAAGGGCTGCAGTTTGAGGATCCCTAGTCTAGAACAGTGGTTCTCAACCTGTGGGTCCCCAGATGTTTTGGCCTTCAACACCCAGAAATCCTAACAGCTGGTAAACAGGATTGAATATTGGGGAGTTGTAGGCCAAAACACCTGGGGACCTATAGGTTGAGAACCACTGGTCTAGAATGATATAATAAGATCCAAATAAGTGATAATATGTAGAAATGCATGTATAAATTTAGAATCTTATCTTTCTCCCAAATGTGATCCTTGGTAGTTCATACATGATTTTTTAAAAAGGACATGGATTAAAATCTAATAATTAGATTCCTGTGGATCGTTTTAAGAATCTTGAAAGCCCCAAGTAATATTTTCCTAGACTTTCAGAGTATTGTCAGATGTAGCCGAATGAAATCCAGGTATTTTCATAGGTTCAAAAAAAAAAAAAACTGGCTTGAAAAAAGTGGGCATCATTTTCCCCCCATTCGTAGATGAGAAAGAATGCTTCATTAACATTTATTTTAGTAGGACATAAGAGGCAAGTTCTGTGGCAAGTGCCTTCAATCCAGTGTTTGCTCCAACCAAATGCTCAGGAAACTCCATCTCCATCGGTCTCTCGTTTTTTGGGAGGCGTGTGGCATTATGCTGAATTTGGGTTGTTGTTTGTTGCCTTTCCCGTGACTTCTTTTTCTTTCTCTCTTGCATTTTATGGCATTTCCACTGTGCTAGTTTTAATTGTTTTCAGTGCTGATGTATTTGATCGTGGGTTATTTCAGTAAGTACTTTGCATTATTCATAATGATAAACTGGGGTTTAACATAAATAACAAGTATGAGTGTCCAACATGATATTCACATGTGGATTCTTCCAAAATCTGCATCAAATCCAGCCCATCAGTAACACTGAATATTTTCTTTCTACATGACATCAGAGATGGTTGGATCATTCTTATACAAGAGACTCAAGAAATAAGCATTTGAATCAGTGTTATGTTTGTTATATTAACTTATCACAACCTATTTTCCTTTAAAGGTCAAATGGCCGGCGATCATACAAGACTGGAATTCCACAACATAGAAACAGGAATCATAACAGAACGGCGCTATTTGTCCTCAGTCCCTTCCAACTTCATTGGCCATCTGCAGAGCCTCACTTTTAATGGCATGGCATACATTGACTTGTGTAAAAATGGGGATATTGACTACTGTGAGCTAAATGCCCGGTTTGGCTTCCGGAACATCATCGCTGATCCAGTCACCTTTAAGACAAAAGCCAGCTATGTTGCCCTTGCCACTTTGCAAGCTTATACTTCTATGCACCTGTTTTTCCAGTTCAAAACGACATCGTTGGATGGGTTAATACTCTACAACAGCGGGGATGGGAATGACTTTATCGTGGTTGAGTTAGTCAAAGGGTGTGTATGCAGCTCACAGTGAAGCGGTTTAGATAATAGTAACTATGGAAGCTACCTGTTCTGTGTTCGGAAGCAGGAGATTTGCTTAGATTGGTGTCCAGTCTAATAAGAGGGTCACTTTTTTAGACCTTCAAAGCAGACACCTTGCCTCGAAGCCTGGAAAAATCAATTATCACCAAGTGCAAAAGGAGCAGCCAACTATCACAACTTGGCCCAAATCGACACAATTAATTTTATTTATTGTCAAAGGCTTTCATGGATGGAATCACTAGGTTCTTGTAGGTTTTTTCGGGCTATAGGGCCATGTTCTAGAGGCATTTCTCCTGCCTCTAGAAGGAGAAATGCCTCTAGAACATGGCCCTATAGCCCGAAAAAACCTACAAGAGCCTAATTTTATTTATCTGAATAGAGAGCTATGGGGCACCCATATTGTCACCTTACACGCAGTCCATAAAATTCTGGCATGCACAATATAATCAGTCAGAACTAGAACAATACCACAAAAAACTGGGCTTTGCATAAGCGTTGACTCCCTAGTCAACAATTGATTCAATGGGCTTACTCTAAGGACTATTCATCCAAAGGCTTCCCTCACCTTCTGATTCCTCTCTTTTAGATGTCTTATTCTTTTGACAGACCTATATTATAGCCATGCATTGCACTTTCAGCCTTTGGTCCACAGTTTTGACCACTCTGTCTATTTCTCTTCTCTCAGTGAACTTGGCACCATCTAGTGTTTAGCATTCGCGGGCTAAAAAACAATTTCCCATTTTTACCATGTTAAATAAGCAGATGAGGCCTGTATAAAGTTACTTTATATGCTCCTTACACTCATCTTCTTTATAAAATTTCCAGTTTGAAAAGAAAGGTAGGTTGACAATGATTGAGTTCAATGATTGGTGTATCTGGGAGAGGCAAACTGAGAATATCGCCCATGACTAAATAACGCTCCATTGTGATTTAATCTTCCTTCAATCTGTGAATTTCTAACATTGCTGAGAGCAAGGCACAGAAAACCATTTACATCTAGTACACTTGTATTTACTGTGCTGTCATTCTCTTGCTATTTTTCCCCTACCTCTTTTCTTTTGATGATTGAAATCTATTTCTGAATGCTCAAATGTGGTGTAATTGCGATGGTAGAAATTTGGAGATTGGAGGATTTTTTAAAAAAATGATTTTTATGAGTTTACTTCTAGAACCAATACAAAAAGGTAAGAACAGAAAAGGATAAGCACACATAGACCATCCTATGACAGAACAGATTACTGTTGAAAAAAACTTTTCAAAAATATAATTGTTTTTCTAGTAGAATAAAACTCAGATGGAAGGAAAATTTCATGGGAAAGGGGAAAAATACTTATTTGGGGCCATTGTTCTCATTTTGCCCCTTAACTGTTTGATAAAAATAACATCAGTGAGCTGTTGTTCATGAGAAAGAATATGTGGTGGAGATAAATAGACTCTCTATAAAGAGGTTCATGTTTTCCACTGGGAAATGCAAAGACATCAGGGATCAGCCAGCAAATTAACTCGTAGGGCATCTTTTACCAAAATACATTACACTATTTATCCATAACAATGACCTTTACCAGGCATCTTGGGATTTCACTGCAGCTGTTTTCCCCCTGTGTTTCCCCCATTGTTCTTTGAGACAATCTTTTTTATTGTTTATTTAGAGGAGTTTCATATATTTCATTCCTCTAAATACAAAGCAGTGTGCATAGCTTTCCCCCTCCCTGCTTTCTCATGAAAAAGTAACTTTTTGAGGCAGATAACAGACCAAGGTCACCCTAGTACTGGAGCTGCCAACTTTCCAAACTCTAAGGATTATTCCACATTCACTCATAATGTTAAATGAGGGTATAGCTGTGAACACTGAGAAATATCCATTGTTAACTGTGACATGTTAGGAAGTACATTGATTTTTGGCCATAGTATAAAGCAGCCAATTTAATTTCCTATTACTCTGGGGCATTCTGGCAAATAAAAACAGATTTTAGTCAGAATGCAGGGTTAGTAACATTGTGGGAAATTAAAATAGAAGGTCGCTGATGCTACTACTAAGTAAACCTGTGGAAAGTGGCACAAGGGAGACAGCTTTACTGATGTCCTCTGTCTGGGCACTGGGTCCTAGAATCTTTCTGGCTACTTAGTGTGCTTGTAGTTCAGAGAGACATTCCATCCTTTTTTGGAATATGGTCTCTATTTATATTTACATATTGGCAGTTGAATGTAATGGAGTCAGAATGGTGGAGTGGTTTGAGTATTGAATACAGCTTTGGAGAACAGAGTACAGAACACCAGTTAGCCATGAAAACCCATTTGGTGACCCCAGATAAGTCACATACTCTTAACCTCAGAAACTCCATGACAGGTTTTGCTTTAGGGTTGCTATAAATTGGAAACAACTTGTGAGCACATAACAACAAAGTTGGATATAAAATTGGCACTGTGTTAACATGGCCTCTCCATTGTCTAGAGCTTGGGAAATCATCCATTGTTAGAAAAGTCTAGATTCCCTGATAACTGCAGGGAGAACAAAATTGAAGGTTCCTCCTACCTTGAGAAACTTCAACAAAAGCAGATATTAGGAAAGTTTCTTATTGGAATACAAGTCCTGAAATCCCCAGCCTATCTTGTCCTGAATGATGTAATTCAGAAAGGTAAATTCCTCAAGCTCTGATCAAAAAACTATTGTTTATTCATACCTGGATGAAGGAAATAATGGAATAAATAGGAAAAGCTGAAAAGAGAAAAGACAAAGCCTATTCCTTCCGTCAATAATATTAAGCTAATATTAAGTAATACACAAATTGTCTATATTGATATAATATTGAGCTGCCTTCAATTGCACACTGTCTGCAAGTGCATTATGTTTTTGCCATCTTCACTACATGTTTTAGCCCAAGGGATCTTTTAAAAAATCAGGTAATAAACCAGCCCATTCCTGCTCTAAATAAAGTAAGAGTTGAGATGAAGAATTGATCTTTTCCTCTGCTTTCTCCTTCATTTTCTTAAAAAAAATAAATCTTGTCTATGTTCGCTCCCTGTTTATAGGTATCTGCACTACGTCTTTGATCTGGGAAATGGTGCAAATCTCATTAAGGGAAGTTCCAATAAACCCTTGAATGACAACCAGTGGCATAATGTGATGATATCACGGGACACCAATAACCTCCATACGGTGAAGATTGACACCAAAATCACAACACAGAGCACTGCGGGAGCAAGAAACCTTGATCTCAAAAGTAAGTGTCAATGCTCATCACAGAAATAATAGACTGGGAGGATAAATTAGGTCCTAAAACATAGATATTTCTTACATATCAGTAAAGTTTGTAATATATTCTTCATTGAGCTGCCTTCAATTGCACACAGTCTGCAAGTGTATTAGCTATACACATCATTCTTTCATTGACTAAGTGTTAAGAGAAAGATGGATTAGATGTGGTTAATACATTCTACAACGCTCTTCTGGAATGAAATTGATGTGAGAAACAAAGAGTTTGATATCCTCTATGGTTTCCAGTCCCTCATTTGTCAAGAAGACGTACATGTGCAGATATTAACAAAAATAAGTGAGTACAGAATTCTTTCTGCAGTGAACTGTGAGATAGATGGCTAGAGACTATTCCTCTATTTTTTGTTAGATTTTCCTTTATTTGTACAAAGAACAAGTAGTGGTTGCATTTTAGGGCAAATCTACATAGATATGAAAACCCAGAGACACTCTGAATTGACTTCTGGCTGTCCTTATGATAGTGAGTGAATAGCCTAGGTTATCTTGGGTTAAGTAGGATTTACCCCACTGTAGACAAAGCACAGGGATGCTCCAGAATTTTCCAGGAACTCTGCAGTTTCCTGTGGCTTTCGGGTGGTGTGGACAGCTAGATAGGGTCTGATTTGGACTAGTCCACTACCTGGAGCGAACACTCTAGTCACCACTCTTTCCCTGAGCTCTTCAATTCAGGGAAAGGGGATGGATCATGTCCATGTCATGATGGCTGGCACCAAAATGGGGGTACTATTTTGATATCAACAGAGGTGCTTGCATGACCAGGAAGAATGTAAGAAGCCCTCCTTCGGACCCCTCCTTCTTCGGACCCCTCCTTCTTCTCATTTTACTACTCAGTGTAAACTTGCCCTTATAAATTCATTGGAGTTGGGAACCTGGCTTTTATTTCAACTCTTTGCATCAGTGATCTTGGAGTATATGTTGAATGTAATGTTTTAAAATGTTTAATATGTATGAATTTTAATTTATTGTAATTTTAATGTTTATTCAGAATTCTTTGGTTCTAAGGCACTGAATAATTGCCTATATGTAAGTTGCCTTGAATTCTCTTCAGGGTAGAGAAAGGTGGGGTATAAATAGGGTAAATAAATAAAAATAAATATTTAGAGGAGTTCATGCATTTGTCTAGGCAAGAAATAAAAAAGGAAACCAGATGCATCTTGAAAGCATTCAAGTTAGAATGCTTGCAAAAAAGGAACACATCTGTTCAATTGCTCATAAACATGATTAATGCAAGCTCAGCAAAAGTGGTAGCAGGTTTTCCCAGGAATGCAACTTTTCCATTCAGAAATGAAACTAAGGGCCCATCCAGACAGCCCCTTTATTGCAGAAACTTCCACAATAAAAAGTGGGCTGTCCAGATGACTTTCTGGTTAACCCGCAATTAATTCACCACAAACCGGAAAACGCTGGTTTGTGGTTATTTAATTAGATAGTGGATTTATTCCGTGCCTTCTTGGAAGACACGGAATAAACCCACTACTTCCATTCCCGCAGTTTTCCGGGCTAAATTAGTCCGGAAAACTGTGGAAATTCTACCGYACCTCCCCCAAAGCCCCCAAAGCCCTTTAAAAAGTGAAATAAACTTACTCAGCCTCCATTACAGTTTTACAGGAGTTCTCCCGGTGCGTAGAAATGATGTGCCAGGAGAGTGGGGGGGGGGGGGAATTGCTCCCCCTCCCTCTTCTCCTGGAACATCATTTCTACACACCGAGAGAGCTCTGGCAATACTATAATGGAGTCAGGGTAGATTATTTTACTTGTAAAATGGGTTTGGGGGCTTTGGGGGAGGGGGGAGGGTCTCTGGATCTTCTCTTGAGCCAGTACTGGAATAACATCTGGACAACCACCCCAGAAAGTGCATGCTTTCTAGAGTGGGTGTGGATAGGGGCCCAAGAACATCCACGAATAAAGTATTCCAGACACTCCTGGAATAAAGTTCTGTGTGGAAGCGCCCTGAGGCCCCTCTCACACAGCTTTAAAAAATCCCTTATTATCTGCTTTAAACTCGGATATATTCCAGTTCAAAGCAGATTTTGTGGGATTTTCTGCCTTGATATTCTGGGTTATATGGATATGTGGAAGGGCCTTGAGAGCCATAACTCCAGAATCCCAGGATCCCAGAATTAGAGCATGGTGGCATGTTCAAGACCATTACCATACTTTTGTTTAGATCAGGGGTTCACAAACTTTATAAACAGAGGGCCAGGTCACAGTCCCTCAAACTGTTGGAGGGCCGAATTATAATTTGAAAAAAACATGAATTCCTATGCACACTGCACATATCTTATCTGTAGTGCAAAAAACACTTGAAAATAATACAATAATTAAAATTAAGAACAATTTTAACAAATATTACTTATTAGTATTTCAATGCAAAGTGTGGGCCTGCTTTTGGCTGATGAGATAGGATTGTTGTTGTTGTTGTTGTTGTTGTGTGCTTTCAAGTCATTTCACACTTAGGTTGACTGTGAGCGAGGGATGGGTAAATTACTTTGGAGGGCTGTATTTGGCCCTCGGGCCTTAGTTTGAGGACCCCTGGTTTAGATGGAACATCTAATGTTTCTCAAACATCTCTCATTTCAAAGATAAGTAGTGGTTGATTCACTTCTTGGAATATGACCATGCCTTCTAGGGAAATGTGGGATGTGTTGTCAAAAATTAACTTTTTAAATCTCTGGCAAATGCCATAAATCTGGTTTCACCTCACACTATTTTGAAAGGAGAAATTTTCGTGCATAGTTCACAAGTAACTCCCAAGCAGCGGCCATCAAGATGAAGGGAATGTTTTTAGGGACAAAGCCTTGTCATGTCACAGAGAATGTTCTCAGGTTGATGTTGAAAGGCCAAGTCTCTGTTTTACCATTAAACACAATCTCTTTAAGCATTAACTATAGTTGCAAAGTGTATGCCATTTCTTCGAAATGTTCCAAGTCTAATAAATGAGGAATTATATGTAGGAATACATGCACCTTTAAGGGAAGTTCTCTCACCTTGAATTTGTCCTGAAAAGGGGGCCAGGTCTTGAGATCTAGCAAATTTGTTTATATTCCAGGTTGCTACTATAGAAAGAAAAGTGTACTTTCTTTTTTGTGCCTTCTTCTTGTCAATATAAATGGATATAGAGCAGAAGCAAGGATGCTTTCTACATAATCACACTTGCCTGCTAACCCCCCGAATGAAGACACAGGACAACAGTCATGGGTTAAAASTGGGCAACTTTATTGTTACCATTTTAATTTGTAACTGATTTTTAATTTTCTATCATGAATYTGTAGTGAACACAGCCGAGGTAGTGTCCCTTCCYGGCCTACCCCTYGGCTAAATAGGGYGAAGCACCCAGTCCCCTGGTGACATAAACYCGGGTAACCTTTAGGAAAATGTGTTGGATGAATCTTCCTCAAGGTTATTGAGGTCAGATCCCTCCCATTTTAAGGCCATATATCTTTTATATCTCAGCTTGTTCAGTGTACCATTCGTTGATATTTCTGTTAATGGCCTTCGCCCCCAGAAGGGGTGCCTAGGGTGCACACCAAATATAACTCCTTATTGCTGTTTTCCRCCACAAGATGGAGGCAAGTGTCCACTTAGCCCCCATCTCCCCAACCTTCAAAACAGCCCTTCCAATTTAGGCCCCAATTTGTAACAACCAGTTGCCCCCATTTAGACATGTATAATCCATCTTGTATCTGTGTAAATGTGAATCATTAGTATTTGAGCGTTAAACAGAAGAATGCTATAACCAGTGGCGAACCTGGAAGCCCCTCCAGCGTTCCCACAACATAATAAAGCTGATAACTGCTGACTCGAGCGGTCAACCTGGGAGCGCCTCCAGTGTTCCCTTAACATGATAAACACAGTAAAACTGTAACAGGTGGCGAACCTGGGAGCACCTCCCGTGCTCCCTTAACATGATGAACACGGTAAATGCTGTAACAGGTGGCGAACCTGGGAGAGCCTCCAGTGTTCCCATAACATGATAAACACAGTCAATACTGCAACAGGTGGCGAACCCGGGAGCGCCTCCGGTGTTCCCTTAACCTGACAAACGCAGTAGATACTGTAACAGGTGGCGAACCTGGGAGCGCCTCCAGTGTTCCCATAATATAATAAACACCGTAGTGTCGTGGCATGACAAGTGATCTCATCTCTCCACCAATTCTATAAACACTAGGGGATCGATAACCCCCAACTGTTTCCAGCCGCCACTCTGCTCATGGCGATGATGGCCAGCCTTGGAAAGCTGGCCAACCAAACATCTTCCTGGTGCATCCAAACATCAAGGCCTCCATCAGACTGTATAATAAATCAGTGTGACGCCGGAACAGGAGCTGAAAAACTGAAGAACAAAATCAACCGGGGGGGGGGGGGACACGTAGTATCCCTTTCCCTATCCAACAAGGGATCGTCTGCCCCCTCGCCGCCTCCTGTAAAGCCTCAGAGGCCTCTTATCCCTTGATTGTCTTGATAATCACATTGAATGAATAACTCTACTAGCTAATGTAAAGGGGATAACTTTGTTTATAGCACTAGTAATGGTGTGTATTTAAGGAAATAATAACAACCACTAGGCGCTGGGCGTTGAAACCCCGCCCTATCTTCTCCATCTCTCCGTGTCCCATAGATAGCCCTATCCTCATTTATTCTGTGTTGCTATAAGTAATGTGTCGTAGCCTCTCAGGTACTGTGTTTAGGTAACAAGTCATGAATATATATATGACAATCGTGGTGGCAGGTTCTTCACCTCATATCTGCGTCCTGATCGTCTATGAAACCTGCCAGCTCACCGTTGACAGTGGCGACTTCACAGTCCTAGAAGCACTAAACTTTCCCCCCCCCCCAAATGAATATAACCTGTTTTGTGGTTTGCAAGTTGTTTTGTGATCTCTCTCTTTGCTTTGTTCTTTAACTTGTGACCATTAAAGTCTATAAACATTTTCCCACCCAATAGGC